TCCCCCCCCCCCCCTTCCCCAATTTAAATTGATTTTTTTTTCCCCCCCTTTTCTTCCTTTTACTCCGATTTCATCCTGGTTTTTATGTTTCAAAGATAAACCCCAAAACATTCCCGGATTTTTTTAAAATAAAAATCAGAATGCAGAACACTATGTATGAGTGTAGTGTAGGGATGGAAGCCAGGCCTTTAAAACTCAGATTCTAATTTCAGACACCTTTAAAAGTTTGAACTTGGGGTGAAATTGTATCCATATCTAATGTCAGGGTACCCAGGAACTTACTTGGTAATGTAGAAGCTATTAAATATATTCAAGAGGCTAGAGACAAAAAATTGATGTCATTCACAGAAACTTTTAAAACATCACTCAAATTTTGGTTCCAATCTTAAATTGTATGAACTGGACTCAATTCATGTTTCCACAGTTTAAAAACAAGCAGTCAGTCACTTGCGATAGTCATTGACTGTAAATCTTAACAACTGGATTTTCCAAATGTCTTCACATTGTAATTTTAAAACGATGTGACATTTGTTTTTTATGAAAAAAGTTGTATATCCTTTTTTAAAACAATATTGCAACAGTATTATGCTTTTAACTTCCATGAATTTCTGGAACTGAAGGCAAAAATCCTTTATTTAAGCTTTTTGTAGGCTTTTTAAAGTTTAATGGCAGTGAGGTAAGGGCAGGACGTGGGGGGCTTTCTCTGTTGCTATGGTTTTCAATATCTTTGCCCTAATTTTTTAATTATTATTTTTATGGAGGAAAAATACTTGGAGGCACCTCTAGTTATGAAGAACTGAGGGAGATGGTTTTCATTTTGTTCTAATTCAGATGGCTAATGAGTTTAGTTCAAACTTTCTTTGCCTTCTTTGTCAATCCTGACATAACTTAAGTTTTTATCCCCAGGGCAGAGTTTTTTTGGAAAGCTCTGAAAACCTCTGTTTTAATATAACTGAATACCTACTCTTGCCTACAGTTTCACCATCTGCAGGCACTAGTGTCTTAATATAAAAGCTCTTGAATATGCTGTCATTTTTACCAATTTTTTTCAGGTCTTGGCAGATATTTTATCTTCTCTAATAAAACTTAAGTTATATCTCTAAAACGTGCCAATAAAAAAATATGATGATGTTATGTCTAGAGAAACATATATTGTACATCTGACTGCTGTTAACCTTTTTTAACTATGTCTCCCCCATCAGTTATCCATAAGACACAGCACTGGTTTCATGGAAGAATCTCTCGAGAAGAATCTCACAGGATTATTAAACAACAAGGGCTTGTGGATGGGTGAGCATTATTCTCTAGTATGTCTTATTTACAGTTGTTCCACAAGCTTGTTATGACAGGCACTGTGCAAACACATTGAAGAATACAACTTCTGTCCTAAATAATTTTTGGGATTAGACACTTAGATTGTAGATGCAAATAGATCAATTCTTGTGAGTAGTCTGTTGTCCTCTTCAAAGGCTTCAGAAGTAGGACCAGTCACATAACTGCTGGGCTCAAAGCTTCAGTCCCCAAAGTAATATATTAAGTGTACATGTAAAGTTAGGTTTTGGGAAGAATGTTAAGGGCTGAGAATAACCTGTAACAAAGAAGTAAATATCTATTTCTTCCTTCAAATCTTAATTTTCCTAGTAGAGTTCTACATTGAAATACTAGCAAATAGAGTTGGCACAAGAGAAGCATTTAACTTCATTCCCCTTACTTGTATTAAAGGAGGTATTGGCTTTCCCTGATTATTTCTTTTCTTTAGCAAAAAGAACATGGCTGAATGAATCCTTTAAAAATGCCTGTATCTGGGGTTCTAGTTCTTTACAGTTCCAGGAGCATGTTTAAGTTTCCATTGTTTTCTTGCTGTAGCAGTTGTACTCAGTAGGTTTCCCTGCTTTTCAGTGGGAAAACCATGGCTACCTGCCCACCTTCAGGATCTAGTTGGAGCATCCAGGCCAGTTTCTCAGGCTACAGTCAAAGCTTAGATGTTTTATGATCCTTATTGTATATTTCTGAAAGTTCTGCTTGAGTGCTTCATTTATGACTCACTGGTAGTACACTATGTATGGGAAATTTAGCTTTTACTTCCTTGGCCAACTTTACACTGTTGAACTTTGGTGCAGGTTGCTTTCTCTTGGGAACATGATAGCAGTTCCTCTTGAGTTTTTATATGGAATGGAATTAAATGTTGCAAGGGTAACACTTACATGCTTCACAGCCCACCCAGCATGAAAGCAACTGCTTCAACTGCGAAGGGGAGGTCTTTTAGCAGCATGGTTCTCCAAACTGACCTATTACCCCAGTGCTGGGGGTTCTACATGCCTAGAGATCTGGGGAGTTAAGTGTGGTCTCTGGTGTTTGACCTTGATTCACAAATGTGAATGACAGGAAATAGAAAGTCACCCTAAGAAAAGAACTGGAGGTCTTTTCTAATGGCTCAGATCAGGCCCAGAAGACGAATAAAATGCTCGGTTGATGTTTCTGGTGCTTGGCCATCTCTTCTGATTGTAACTAAGAGTGTGTTTGCACTGCAGCTCATGTAGACCTACCCAATCTAGCTTTAAACTACCAGCTCAGAGCTCCAGTAAGCATCCAGTTTTTCTGCCTATCATCTTGGGCAGTTCTTAAAAGCCCTTAAAGGGCTGTGTGGTACTTTGGCTGTCCTTTGAGTAGTATGTAGAGCAACTGGTTTAAAGCTAACTCTGGTGTGCCTATACCACGTGCAGTGAAGCATACACTGGGCTTGTCTACACAAGACACTAAAAATGCAGTAGACTAATTCTGTTGTGTGTTAGCGCATCATGGCAAAAGCCATGCTAATGTGCTATAGAATTAAATTAGTCTACTGTGCACTAGTGTCATGTAAAACATGCACTGGCACTACTGCGTAGTAGTGCCAATTACAGCGCATTAAGTTAGTGCCTGTTATTACAGGTACTAAACTTAATGCACCATAAATATGGCACATTAGTGCACATTTAGATGTACCCTGAGGGGAAGTTTGCTATCTAGGTGAAGATGTATAAGAAATTCTCTTCTCCACAGGTGTTATCACTGATGGTGTTTATTTGTCTTTGGACAGCATGAGTGTTCTTACATTGTAGCAGACATCTAGGCTTACAGAGGTGCTGTAGACAGGGGGGGACATTACTGTACTCCATTTGTGTGGAGTTAAAAATCACAATATAAGCTTATAAGGTGCCAGAGTGTATACCCGAAACACTGAATCCACAACAAAACAGAAGGCTCTGAAACATCTATGAAACAAAACGAAACCATCCAAAATGTTTCGGAGGCACCTCCCGGGAATAGTCTGGCACAGCCCATCATCCCTCTTTTTAAAGTGCCGGGAGCCTGGGGCCGGACAGGGGATGGAGCCGAGCAGGGCAGCCATGGGGACCAAATCAAAATAGAAACAGTGATCCAAAATGAATTGCTGTCCCTCCAAAACAGCTGAATCCAAAACGGAAATGAAACACAGCCATTTTAACAGCCCTACCAGGAATGTACTTGACTATTTCTTAAGTCTGATGGTAGCTTACATGTTCATGGTATCTAGCCTAAGTATTTTCCTGCCCAATGGTAACAGTGCCTCCTGCAACTGCCCAGACTGGCTTGCTGCTCCTGCTAGCGGCAGAACAGCAGGCAAACTCTGGAGAGAAAAAAAGAATCAGGCCCCTTGGAACTCATGTGGTACATGACCAGCCTGCAGCAAACCCTCTGTGCCACTGATAGCCACTGACCACTGTCTGGCTCTGAGGGGCTCTCTTTCTCTAGATCTGGCCTCGATGTCACTACTGGCTGAGCTGCCACTGGATGGGCACCACCTGAGCTCTGAGGGACCCAATCCTTTTCGCAGCTCAGGTAGCACCTGGACAGCTGGCAGCCAGGGCAGGGGCAACATGGGGATGCAGGCTCTGGAGAAAACAAAGGATCAGGGTGCTCAGAGCTCAAGTAATGAGCCAATCTGGGCAGCAGCAAAAAGACCTGCAGTGGCCAGTTTTTCACCTTAGGGTGTGACTGCTTCACTCAGCTGAACAACACTAAGCTGATTTGCAGTTTTCCTTGAAACCTGTGCAGCTCAAGCTTTAACCCAGCTGAATTAAGTGAATTGGCAGCAATTTTTGACCAGTTTGGCAGCCCAGGAGTATTCAGGTATGGTGTGCCCAGGCTGTGGCAGGGAAGAATAGAAAAAAAAATCTTCATTCTGTTTTCTTAAAACAAGATGTGTCATATGGGGGATAGTAGGTGCAAAAATATGGAATGCTATTGGCCAATTTAACTGGGTTAGGCAACTGCCCAATTTGTGGATCACATTTTGAGATGGCTTTCATGAAGTTTAATGTGAATAAATCTTTTTGCAGCTACCCTTTTCCCCTCGAGTAGAAGGGAAATTATAGATTGTAACATTTGTTTTTACATTGCCATAAATAATAGCAATATCTGTTCTTTCCTAGGCTATTTCTCCTCCGGGACAGCCAAAGCAACCCAAAGGCATTTGTACTAACACTGTGTCACCATCAAAAAATTAAGCATTTTCAAATCTTACCGGTAAGTATGTACTTTCCACATTAAAACAAAGTTGGGGGGGATGTCAAGATGTAAAAAATAATTATTTTACAAAAATAAAGCACCAGTGCAGTAAAATATTGATGCTAACATTAAAAATAAAGATATTTCTCAGCATTTCTCCATGCCTCTTTAATTATGCCCTTTATAATTATTGCCCAGGCTGCTGGAGGAAATATCTGAGTCAAGGTAGAGAAGCAACATAAAGAACTATGACCTTTGCAGCTCTTTAAGATTACAAGAAATAGTTGCAGTGGTCTCTATCACACTAGAACCCATTAATGAGATTAGTCAATCCAGACAATTAGCCCTGAATGTTTAGACAAAGTAAATACCAAATACCTTTTAGCCACTCAAACGGCTTTTGTGCTCTTCCCTGCTGTTTTCTTCCCAATACACTGACCAGCTAACAAGTCTTTGAGGAGAATTCTTGCTTTACCTCATGAAGAGCTGTAATTAAAGACTTATACAGACTTCATTCCCCAGAGTGCCTTTACTCTTATTACAAAAAAAAAAATACTAAGTGGGATTACAGCTCATTCCTTTCAGTGGAAGACATAGGTACTCACTCAGCATTTTGGGCAATCAGACCATTAATAGCTTCTCTTCAGGCCACTCAACCAAAGCAACTTGAATTTGTGAACATGTCTCTGATAGTGTGGGAGTCGCAACAGGAATGCTTTTCTTGTTTTGCTGCACCTGGGGTACTACTAACCTGTTAAGCAGATGGGCTGTCCAAAGAAACTTGCTCCATAGTGGAGAGGGCCAGGAAGCTCAATCAGTGTTGGATCCATTCCATCACTTAAGTGTGATTCCACACCTCTCCACTGGATGGAAAACAAGCAAGCAAAATCTTCACCCAGATAGTTGTTGTTGCACTCTGGTTCCTAGTAGTGGAGCTTTGGGGGGTTGCAGATAAGCAGCGATTTGGTACTTTGCATCTCTAAGAACATATTAAGCTATGCAGCCAGATGACCCTAAATTACACTGATATGCTGACGGTGAGCTTGAGGAATAATTTATTTTGAGATGCTATTTAGTTTTTAACTAAACTAAACATGAAAAGGTGTCCCCCAAAAGTTCCACACTGAAGAGTTTTAATATGTACTTTATTCTTTATCCTATGGAATTGTAAAATCAGACGTCTAGAATCTTAATTTATTGCTGGTCTCGGAAATTCCAAGGTACTGCCTAACTGGGAAAGGACGTTTTATTTCCCTAGTGTGAGGACGATGGACAAATATTTTTCAGCCTCGATGATGGGAATACCAAATTCACTGATCTAATTCAGCTTGTCGAGTTCTACCAACTAAACAAAGGAGTCTTGCCCTGCAAACTCAAACACCACTGCATCCGAGTGGCCTTATGACGTCAAATCTGACCCTTACTGAAGACTGGATTTGCTAGAAGAAGAATTGTAAGAGAAAGTTGACACTGGGGAATTGGCAATTTTGTAGGTTGGTAAAAATATTATGCACCTTGGGACTCTGAAAGGGATTGGATTCCGTTGGTGCCAACAGACCAAGATTACTGGTTTGTCCAACACCTAAAAGTGATTGCTGCTGAGTGTCCCAGCATCCCAAAAATGTGGGGGGAGGGTATGAAAAAATCATTAGCAAATTTGTAACAAAACTGGAAGCTATCTTGGCTGGGCCACTTAACAAACAAGTTGTGAAGAGAAATCTTTGAAAAGAACTCTTGCCCTGGAATAATCTTGACAATTAAGACTAGTGTGTTTACTTTTTGTATTGATCACTTTTTTTGCACTCCTACTTTGTTTCGAATATTGTATGCAGCCTATATTAGGAGCTGATGTGGCTTTTAAATTCATGCAGGAGTTGGGTATTAATCTAAACCCTAACATGTATGGAACGCTTCAGCCTAAAAAGGATCTAGAAGAAAACCCAGAAGTGCGCGTGTGTGTGTGTATGTGTATGTGTGTGTGCGCGCGTGTGTGTGTGTCAAAACTTCTCTGGAGATCTGAGGTTGTCACCTGCAGATGTCTTTTGAAAAAGGTATATGGATACAGTTCTAAAAGAACATACCACCATATGTACTCTTAGAACTGTTGACTTTTAGCATAATGGCTGTAGAATGTTTATGGCATATTAGTGGTACCCAGTCATGCAAAGACTGTGTTAGTCAGACTCTATGCACAAATGTTGAACCTTTTTATTATTGATGTGGTGGTTTGTTTGTTTTTCAGCCTATTGACTTTGTTTTCCTAGGGATATTTACTGTTATTAAATAGAATTGGGCTGAATGACCACACTTGTATTTTGGAACCAGCTGTTTTTGTGTGAACAATACTTATGCTGATAATCTACTTAGTATGACAAAAGATCAGTGTTTTTTAGCTTTATATCTCCTTGAATTTTTGGACTGTTTCAAAGAGCTATCTTTTCTCATAGCAAACCTACAGTAACGATGATAAAGCTCTTCTGGGGAATAGAACTTGAAAAGAACTGTACCCCTTTTCCTTTCTGTAGGATCATGTGAAAGTTTACATGGTGAGAAACAAGTACAAACTGGGATTGGAAACTCATTTGATTATGACTGGTATTTCTGATTTTAGTGCTGGCAATATCCTCCATCAAGGTGACAAGTGATGTTTTTGAAATGCACACTAATCCATACTGATTTCTATTGTACACAGGTATCTACCCTGCTTAAGGCTGGCATGCCATCAGAACTACTTTATTGTTAATATTTAAATCAGTTATTTAATGTTTACACAATAACACTTTCTTCCTTCTGATGGTAAACCAGGATTAAATTCAGGGTAGGTACTGAACAAATATTCTCATTGAACTGCCATAAATGTATATGGGGACAGCAGGGCAGGCCCTATGAGGCCCTGTGAGGAGAGGCTGCAGGACCTGAACCTGTTCAGCCTCCAAAAGAGAAGGCTGAGGGGGGATCTTGTGGCCTGTTATAAACTAGTCAGGGGGGATCAGCAGGCATTGGGGGAGTCACTGTTCCCCCGAGCACCGCCAGGAGTGACCAGGAATAACCGTCATAAGCTGGCAGAGGGTAGGTTTAGGTTAGATATCAGGAGGCGCTACTTCACGGTCAGGGCGGCTAGGGTCTGGAACCAGCTTCCAAGAGAAGTGATGCAGGCTCCTACCCTGGGGGTTTTTAAGAGGAGGTTAGATGAACACCTTGCTGGGGTCGTTTGACCCCAGTACTCTTTCCTGCCATGGCAGGGGTCGGACTAGATGATCTGCTCAGGTCCCTTCCAACCCTAGAAACTATGAAACTATGAAACTATATATCATTGTCACTTTCAGCAAGATGATCAGTAGGTAGAAATTAACTTCATTTTCAAATACCCAATGCAGTTTTATCCATATCAAGAAGTGTTTCACCCTGGGAACTTTCAGAATAGTATGCTAAACAGAGCGGTCCTCTCAAGACACTGAACAATTTCTACAGCCTAGTTTATGACTAGTTCATCCTAACTAATATTTGCCACTGAGTCTGAAATCCTAGCCACCTGAAAAGCTAAAGAAGAAACAATCTTATGCCCTTAGGTCTTCACGTAGTGTTGAAAATAGCTTAAGACAAACTATAACCTGCCTGAGTCAACCATATCAGCTGTATCTCTCTTGTCAATGGTATAGAAACACTGTATTTTAGTTTACAGAACACATTTAGTATTTTTCCATGTAATGTCTACATATAAGAATGAAGAAACTTGATTTTTTTTTAGTAAAAAGCCTTTTTAAGTGTACATACTGAATTGAGTGTTCCTGCTTTTTAGTCAGTTAAAATGTATTTTCAGACCTTGAAATTAAGCTAACTTAAGTCTCAGACTTCACTCTGCATGCCTCTGTTGGCCCCTCTTAGATGAAAAAGACACTTGTGTTGATTACATTACCAGTTTTTAATAAGACCATTTATGCTGTAGTTAAAAATTTCTTTCCTGTTTACATAGTTTAGTTTAATTCAATCCATGCATTTTCCCGTAGGCAGTTAAAATGTGCAGTGTTTCATATTTATAAAACTTGCTTTTTATTTAAATTGAGAAGTTGGGATATGAATCATAATTTTGTATGTAGATGGCTGACTTAGTATTTTGTACCTTTCCCAGCTAAAATGAACTATTTTGAGGAAGTGACCACCTTCAAAGTGGCAAAAATCTTACTTGAGCAGGTTACTGCTTTTTCTTCTTTTTGCTGGAAAGTGGTCAATGCCACCCTAACAATTTTCCAGCAGATTCAGCTGGCTGCCAGCTCCGAATACCAAGGACTGAAGGACATTTGACTCTTATTTTTGTATTTAAATGACATGAATGTAAAGGGGGATGCTCAGGGTTGTTTTGGAGCCTGTTGAATTTTTATCTTTTTTGCCTGTGATTTTATTTTCTAAATAAATACTTCATGTAGCAATCTTGAATATGTTGAGAAGGAAAATGCCAAACCATTTTGGTAATAAAGTTACTAGTTAAGTTATGTTACGATAGGTGTTAAAGTACAAAAACTTTTATTTGTTAATTAATCTTGAAGAAACACGTGCCTCAGTTTAGATGTTTTGTCTTATCTTTTCTGCACTAAATACCTGACAGTTTGACCAATCAATGCACCTTTCCAGTGGCAAGACTTGCTTATCGTAAATTATATTGTCACAATGCAAGATTTAGTGACTGTAAAATGGAATAAAGTTAAAGTTTTCAGGGAATGCAAAAGGTATTAACTTAAGAGACAAAACCTTTATTCAGTATGCTTTGCTTCATACTGTAAATAGCTTTTTGGCTTGTGAACCTAATTGTAATCTTTCAGGTATTTTTGTACAAATAAGGGACTGATATTCTGTTTCTTGTAATTAGAAATAAACATTAATACAATGCTATTCATTTTACGTTGGCCCTCATGTCTTCCCCACCCCCTCTTTTTTTGTTTTTGAAATGCCTTGATTTTAACAATTTCGGCTGGATTATCAATTAAAGATCTCCTTAAGACTGGAAGGGAAATCACATCCACAAGTCACTTTGCTTGGCTGCTGTGCCTAACAATTTCCATTGGGTCCATTTGTCCAAGAATTGATGGCAGTCCCTTCAAACCAACAATGTTGCACCTTCTTCCTGCAACAGAGAGCAGTTGAGGATCCTCTTAATATGGCTTCTCACTGCAGAAGTCACTCAGCCTCTTCAGTCTCATTCATCTTTCTTTCTGCTTCTTGTACCCTGTTAATAACTCAAAGTTCTTGACCATCCCATTACTTTGGTACTTTCTTCCATTTTTTGGACCTTCCATGCCCTTTGTTTTATACATTTCAGTTACTTCACTATTTAGTCTGTATTTTCCCAGTGTTCTGCCCAATTCACTGGTGTCTTAGCTTGGTGCTAGTACCAATTTATCTAGTCTTCTTAGCTGTTGCTTTAATACGACATATGCCTGATAGCTCTTCAGGCACCACCCAATATCTTTCCATGCATAACTCAATTTTCATTCATGTTAACAGTGTTCATTTTCTTAGCTGCTACTCCTGCTAAATAGTGATCAGGCAGGTTAAAATCCAGTGTCTAGAGGATTTCTAATTAAAGTGATGTTTATTTTTTACTTTTGTCTGAGAAGATCCCAAACGACTTCAGCTTTATCAATTGTATGATATAACTACACATTAGATCACTTTTACCACTACTGGTATAACGGCTGCCATATTTATTCAACTATAAGACTAGTGGAATGGGCGTGCAGAATGGCAGGGAGAGCTGCTCCAGCCCTGACCCCAACTGGGGCTGGAGGATGGCCCTAGAGCCACTACTACTGCCTGGCCCAGACAGATGCTTCATGCTTCCAGTGGAGACCGAACAAAAGCACCTGCAAAATTAAGCGGGGGGCGGGCAGGCACAAGCAGGGGACAAGTGGTAGGAGGGGGAAAAGCACTCAGGGAGGATGGCTGGCAGGGGGGCAGGCACAGGAGGCCAGTGGCAAAGTGGGGCAGGGCAGGCTTGATTTCCCTGTCACTACTTTCCCTGTGGCAGTGGTGGAAGGGATGAATTTAAGAGGGCCTTCAAGTAACTAGATTTCAGACATGCAAAGTTAAAACAAATTTATAATTTTCTATGTCTAGTATCTAATTATTTGGGGGGTCATCTTAGATTTGGGTAGATATGGTATTTGCCCCTACACAACCAAGTAGCACATAATGGAAGAGGATTTCCCAATCCAGAAGAACATGCAAGTAGATTTTATGATGGGAACGTTGATAGCGTAATTACCGAAGTTCAACTTTAGCCATATTAGGGCAGCTAACACCTTTCCCTGCGTAGAATGATCCTCTGCTCTGGTATTTGCTGTTTTAATGTGTTTTTAAGCATGGCAGGCATTGTATTTTGTAATGGTTTACCATAGGCTCTAGGCGGCCTTCTCTAAATGATGAATCAGAAATAGATCTGGCCAACTAGGCAAGGCCAGGCCTTTTGCCAACTGTTCATTTAAAAACTCACAAGTAGAATGAGAATGTGTACCCTTCATCTCACAAAATTCAGCTGAGGCTCACTAGATACAGGCCTATTCTGCCTGTTAAGTTCTTAAGTTCTTGCTAGACTAATGCAAAAGAGATTACACTCTCTCTAGCCCAGAGTATTAGGACCATAAGGATTCAAATCCAGGATGGCTGGGTTGCAGATGGAGGCTAGGTCCTCAGTGCCACCGCAGAACTGATCAGACACCAGCCCCAGCCCAGCCTGGTTCCTCCCATGAGGATAATAATGAGAAGTCAAGTGACCACGGAGAGCTGCAGGCACCTGACAGGAAGACTGTGAAACTCCTTCCATTTCCTATGGAACTTGTCCCAGCAATAGTGCTTGCATGTGTACTCCTTGGACCTTTGCTTTGTTCCTGCTGTGTTCCTGTTTGCTCTAGCTGACTCAGAACAGTCCCTACCCAAGGTCTGTTTGTACCTCTTGACTCTGATCTACCTTCCTCTCACCACAATACTACCTCAGCCCTTGGCCTGAAGCCTTGGACCTTGATTAATACCTGTTGTGACTGTCCACATGTCTGATTTGGCTTGTGAGTATCATTGCCACAACTGCCAGAGCCCTTGCAGAAGCAGTGTTGACCCTCTTCAGCTGCTGGAGCTGTGGCTCTGGAACCTAGGTAGTTAAAACCATTTGCCTCCCCCCATTCTTCTTACCCACCACCAAACTGGGTTTCTAGTTGCCCCGGACACTAAAATTGGTTGCAGAGGAAAAGGGGGAGAGGGGCAGCAGTGGTGTTAACTCCCTAAGTGTTGGAGCTGCAGTGAAACCAGTGGCTCTGGGAGCTGCAGGGATACACAAAAGCCAGAAAAATATTACCAACATCAGGCACATTAGCATCCATCCAAATTCCAGTTTCAGTTTGACATTACCAATCACGAGTTGTCCAATCCCACAGGAAGCCCCACTGTCTGGATTTGGCCAAGCAAGTTTGACACCCCTGCTTGCTGCTCAAGGTGCAGGACATGTCTTGCTTTAGCTTTTAATTCCTCGTGCTAAATAGGACCATGGAGGTTTGGAAATCATTCACCTTTTGTTGAATGTGATCTCGTCCCTGTCTTTGCTTGTCACTCCACAGCAGCAACAAATGTATCCCATTCAACTCTGGACTCCAGATCAGAGCCATACCTCGATTTTAAAAAGTGTCAAATTTTACACTGGTGCTTGACTTCGTGTTCTTTTTAGCAGTTATTTGGCTTGTT